AGGTACGGAGTCATCGCATTTTAAGGTTGAATTACATAAACAAAAAAGCAATCAACGCTTTTACTCTTTTGCAATATTTTTTTAAGACAGAATGACAGCCATTGGTCAGTTGGCAAAATAAATGTCCCAATGGCCTTCACCTATATTACTCATTTATTTTTTTGTGTAAATTATAGTTATTACTATAATTACACATAATAGCATTATGATGTGTTGTCGAACTATTTCGACTTTGGAAATTTACAAATCTACAGACATTCGTCACGCGAATAATACAATCATTTGGTACATACATTTGCCATCTGTGGATACGTCTGTTCGATACCCTGAGAAAAGTTTGAGAGAAATAAACAATTTAAGGCCCCGATTTTGTTAAAGAGTTTAAAATAATATTAATAAAAGTGTCTATAAATAATACTATATAATATATACTGCCAAATTTTAATTTCATACCAATATATTGCATAACAGTATTATCTGTAATCTTTTAAAATACAGACAACATATATTTTTAAATCAATGTGCTTTCTCTATTCTTTATAAGATAATGTTACTCTCTAGTCTCCGCTTATTTCAAATTAGGAATGTTTGTAGTTGGTACTTAAAATGGCGTCAACGAACCAGCTGCAGACCGGAACGAACAGTAATGTTATTTTTAATAACTCTTATTAAATTTCAAACTGCATTCTTATTTACGACACCAACATTAATTTCTTACTTATTATGATAATGTAAAAAGCCGACTGCAATACGTTATCTAATTAAATATTATAGAGGAAATTTAATTTAATGATTGGCGGCAAAGACTAATCCCTCCTTTAAGGGTATAATTAGGCTGATTAAGAGGTAAGACAGAGATCATTACTAGCGTCGCTACAGACAGGCAACTAGACGTCACAGTAGATGTATATAATCAGTAATCTATGGAAAATTACATTCATTGGAGAATTTATTCCTTCAAAGAAATTTGTACATAAGTACGGACAAAATGTTGTAATAATTTTTTTATCCATATACAAAAACACTAACTTTTTTTAAAACTTGTTTTGCAATTAAGACCTTAGTTTTGATGCGAATGTGTGTCTTTTAAAAACAATCAGACAAACATTTTAAGTAAGATATTCTGCATTCTAGCAAGCCCTACCTACACAGTCGATATCCATTCATAGCAAACTGAGTTATGAATGGCCACCTTATGGCAATCGCTTACTGTCATTATTAAATCTGTATCAGAGGGGAAATATCTTCGGTGCGGCGGGAGGAGAAGCGAAGGCTGTGTTACGTCACACGGCCGCATCCGGGTTCGCGGCCGGAATGGCGCGAACTCCATGCGCACGCGCATCTATTGCTTATCTCTTCTTTCTTATAGAAATGTATGTATTGTAGCAAAAATTAAGAAAAAACTTGAACTGCATAAGATTAATTATAAGATTATTATCTCCGTATTACCAATAACTTTGTTTTCTTAATATGGATGGATATTATAAGGTTGGTGCCCAAACGCAACTAGACCAAGTAAACTAAAAAATAACTTTGCTATATGATATTAAAGAGGAAATATCCCACAATCCTTGTCAATGATCCCAATTATATGCCAAAGCGTTATAAGTGTCGCGGGTTCGTTGTATTGAGATAAATTGAAAATAAAAAGCACCGCAGGGCTCTAACTGTAGCGCGGGTATTTATGTGAATGCAAGCTTGTTGCTAAGCCGGAGATAGCTTCGGAAATCCATTCTAATATGTGGCGCGAGAGCGATTCAACTTATTCCAACAAGAACATAAAAGTGAAACATGTGATTTTTAGTCGAATAAAAAGGATAGACAAACAAGGTTTTATAACAACTATATTGCATGTAATTCAGGTGCGCTGGGGCCCCATTTTGAACATTAACATTTGTAATCTTTACGCGCGGATTAACATTTCACAGCTTTGAAAACTTTCAATATTTCTCTTATTGACTCGGGCAGGACTTGAACCGGCATCGTATTCGTTCCGTGCTGTTACTCTGACCAATTGGTCAGAGCTACCGTGTCCTACACGTCTTTGTCGATTTTTTTCGGTTAGAGCAACAGCACGGAACGCTGAGGGTGTTCAAGACCTGCCCGTGTCGTAATTTGTTTCAATTTTTAATTCGTTTCTCAGCTTCAGAAACTCCGATATTCCCATCACTTATTCAATGCTCAGGTATTCTAGATGAAGTAGTGAATATTTTTAGAAGAATCAGAAAGTGATTCAAAAATGGAGTCCACTATTAATAAAAATATATTGTAACGAGACTAAGATTTTCCTTGTTTGAATATTTATTATCATGTTTCATAAAATAGTGCTTAGTTAGCAGTCGATTTACAACATATAAAAAACTTTATAGCCTCTGTATGTGAACAAAAACATGAGTGAAGCCACATAAATATGCAACATTCGGAGATCGCGTCTACCGCTTAGCAACAACGGTCTAATTAATGTTAGAGGTAGTAGGTATATAGATATTCTAGGAAAGCAACAAATAAATTCACGGTCAAAACTGTACTTATCTATAATTAAATCTCATTACTATTATAATTCAAACATTTTAGTACATAGTGTACTTAATCTAGCTATGTTTTGTACTTGCCCATATTGTATTTTTTTTTAACTATGCGATTAACGAAATACTGTCCTGTGGTTGAAATAAATGCATTACCGGGCATTATGACAAGCGCGAAATATCTCAGATTCGGTTCCGGGGAAATAATATAACTTGTAGGTAAAAGTAAATCGAATGGAATCGTGAAACGGACATTAAAATGTGTCTGCCTACAATGAATCTACTTTAAAGTCTATAGCTAAAGTTGTTTTTGAGGAAAAACTGTTTGATTGAAATTTTCGAATCTTGATTTAAAATGTTCAAATTTTTTTTGAACAACATAATTTTCCGTTTTTCCATCAATCTCTGCGAGGTGCGAGTTTCCACTTTTATTGTGTAGCTAGTTTTAGATTTTGCAACATTCCGTTTTTATGACCGGATGGAATCTTTTGGCACCATTCCAGTGGACATGCATTTTTGTTCTAGACATGGACCATTTACTAGGTCTCGCAGCGTTAAAGAAAAACACTGACTGTAACATCTAGAACAGGTGTTTTAATTTGTGAAAATTATTGTTTTATCTTATTAATATCAGACACTAATTATTTAAATAGCTTTTCAATGAGACATAATTATAAGAACACCTCTTTCATATTCTCTAATGTCTATATTATAAAAATATTGTTGATTTCCGTGATTTAACAGGGAAACAAAATGTGCCTGTTACACTGCGACCAGCCTTTGTGCTTTACTCCATCGAAACAATTAAATCTCTCTCGTGATTAGAACCCCACTTCCATCTTGCGTATATATTAGTATTATTAAACGTAAAAAAAAAACAAAACAATACCAAAACGGAAACGTAACAATTATACCTCAATTACCTATAAAAGCACTATAAGTATAGTATATAATAAACCTAAACCTTTCATGTTTTATCAGCAGGATCAAGTGGTATCTAAATTTCTACTTCTAGTCATCTTATAGTTTACTAAGACAAATTAGAAAACTGATGATATATAGAGGCACTCCTCGTGCCCAGGTCAGAAATTTGATATCCAGTTGTTTTAAATAGTTTTCGTTGTTTCGCCGAGAATGTCCTAGCGCTGAAAATTTAATAGCATTTGTGATCTGTTAACCCTCATCAATCGTTCATCATCGTGGTTGATACTTTTGAATACTATTGCTAGAGAGGACTCTTGATAGAGGTTTAAGTTAAGGCTGTGAGAATTATAGGGCTGATTTTATAGATGTTGCCTGTGATCCGTGGGAAGCGCTAGTTCCGGCTGTGCCACTTGTGCCGAGCCTTTCACCGCGCAAGGTCGCTTCGCGGCCGCTTTCTTTTATATAACCGCTTACCGCTCGCGGACGGAATGTGACACCCGAATTTATGGGATGACGTCATGCCAAGGTGATTCACCTCGCCTGTCACAGAGTATGCACATTTGAGATTCATTGGACAATTTCATTTAACAGAACTATTAAATAATGAGGGTAGATACTCAATTTAATTAATCTTTATCTGAATTCTAATTAACTTACAAAACTTAGTAATAAAATAATCTACGTTATTAAACTTTTATCAAGAACAGAACTTCGATATACTGTCCAATTTATATTCTTTATCCTATCAACATTACACAAAGCTCAAATCAAGTAGGATCTCGTTTACCGATTCGTTGTTATAACTTAATCTCATTCTAAATTCAATTACGTAATAACTAGTTTCTTTTTTTACTGCGTCTGCTCAATAGGTTTAAAACATGTAATTATTCGTGACTGTATCGAATAGATATTGCCAAAATAAGCGGATGGCGGCCCGACATTAGAAAGTGACGAATACACATCCGTTACGTACCGGAACTGATATTTGCACGAGGTAATTTAGTTACATCATCGGCAAATCGTGAATTAATATTGTCGTCACGATGATTAAGTTTGTAGTCTTTTGTATTATCGTTACAAAGATAAAATATTGTGTTTCCATGTTTCTTACCCAGTATACATAAAGTAATATCTAGTATATACAAAATTACTATCCGAACAGTATAATGTAAGGCTACAAATGAAATATTTTTAACAATATTTCTTTTATACAATCTCGGTACAACTCTGTTATGCTTTATACTCTATGTAAACTGTGCAAGTCTGTGATAAAGTTGACATTGACTAGTTAAGCAAATGCCAGTTTGAAGTTGTCACAAATGACAGAGTTGACGGTTAATTGGTGAATGATTATTGCGAATGCGTGATGCGTTGTGGAATTTCATTTGAATATTTTTTAAACTTTGAAGTTTAGCAACAGCCCAGTTAAAAAAGGCTCGAAAAGTAAATATAGTTATAATCCTTCGTGTGCAATGTGTAATATAGGCAATAAGGAACCAATATGTACTTAGCTATTCAAATGCTAAGGTTAGAATAATAACTAATATAAACATGGAGCAAGAAATGTCTACTAATAGTGATGGAAAATCGGAACATTTTAACAATTTTGAGTCAGACAATGCTAAGAGTTCGATCACGTAAGTTCTAAAATACGTGTTATTAAAAGCGACGTCAGATGTGATAGTAACGTGTTATTTACTTTCAAGGTGTTCGAATGTCCCTGAAGGGTTATTTGATACGTCTGCCGCCAAAAAACACTTCAGTAAATTTGGGCGCGTTCATAAGATACGCCTCTTGCCTAAAAAGCTAATGTGCATTGTTGAATATGAACAGCCAAATTCAGTTCAAAGAGCTTTATTGAATGCTGGAGCATATGATGGCTTTATGTTTGATGTCACACGGTCAAAAGCACGAATGTAAGTTTAAAAAGTATGGAAGTAATTCTGCTTTCTATTATTGACTGTATTTTGGTATTACAGTAAACAATTACTAGCATAGCATTTATTGCACTGTTATCTTTATGGTCTCATCTTGCCACTATTGTCAATGTCTTTAGTGTAAAATTGATTCATTGAAGGTATCTTAAACTTGCTTTACATGAATTATTTACTTACCTTCAAAATATAATTCTCTTTAATCAAATGTGATTTATATGCTATAATAATAATTAATGATTACAGTCGGAGAAGAAGTAAAAAAGATGATGATCCTGATTGGGTACCTGATTCTGATGTTGAAGAGGAGTTATCAGCTATGGGAGGCATAGCTACATATAGAGTGCCTCGGCAAAAACGTAGGTGGACTATATTTTTGCAAAATGTGTTATAAAATTTGATTTTTTGTATATTTTAAAGTAAAACTACACTTACCAAACTGACTAAAAAATTTACTCTCAAGTTTTGCATAGCCGATTCCTGTTCTATCTATATTATGACTTGAATAATACCTAAACTATAGTATACTGCTTATTTTTTATTAATCTGGTAAACAGTTGAATATTTTCTGAGCCAATATATTAAAATCCAAACCAAAATCAGAAAGTTCAACCATGTTTCATTACAGTATATATTTAAAATAATATAGATTAAAATAATGAGTACTTTTGTCACGGTTATGTTACTATTTGTTTTTATTTTAGCTATGGAGCTTGATTCACCAAAGAAAATAGTCTCACCGAAAATTCCAAAACCAGTGAAAAAGGTGATGAAGATAAGAGGTGATGTACCTGTGAGACCTAAAGTGAAGGGTGTTCTGTGAGTAATTTATTATACAACATATTATTTTCTGGATGCTCAGCCGCAACTCCAAGTTATCACTAGACAACAATCCAGTATGGCATCCAGTTGTGGGGGAGTGCCTCCGACAGTAATATTAACATATTACAACGCCAAGAAAATAAAATTCTTCGGACCATGGCCAATGTGCCATGGTTTGTTCGTAATTCGGAACTCCATGAACACCTGCGAATTGGCACAGTTAAGGATGAGATACGCTCTGCTGCTGTAACATACAGGAAAAAGCTCACAATCCACCCAAATGAACTTGCACGCCAACTGACCATAAATAAATATACTGTATGCCTGAAAAGACACCACATCATGGAGCTTCAAGATCGAAAATAGCTCCAAAAGAAAGAAAATAAATAGTAGGTGTTCTCATTGGAGAATGCCCTCTACATGTTAAATAGATATATCGCATCTGCTCATAGTCTGGGGACTGATCGCAGATAATAATAATAAAAAAAAATAAAAAAATATATATTATTTTCTCAACCGTTATAAGTATGATGCTCAATAACAAATTAATTTAATTTAATTAAATTACCTTCTCCTATTTTTATTAAAATTTAGTACGAAATAGCATAATCACGAAATATCTATTTCGCCATGTCTGCAGCTGTTGCCAAACATCTGAAATATTGGTTGTAGTTAAAAATAAGTTAATCAATATATTTCGTGTTTTAAACCGTAAAATGTGCGCAAAAACTTATTAAAATAATTTATATATTATGTATATGTTCCTTGTAAACTGAGGGTATATTGATGTTCTGACTTAATCAATATCCATACCTAAATCAGGTTTCAGCCAACAAGTGGTATGGAGTCACCGGTAATTGTGTCTACAAATACGAGTCTTAGCACAACAGAAGCAGCTGCTGAACTTCATCAATTGAGATCTAGGATTTCTTTGACTCCTGATGAAAAATGGAGGACCTTAGACGCTAGGGACAGGTAGTACACCCAATTTTTTCAAATGTTTATTACTTTTACTGTTATTTTTTAAGCACAATCTAATTTATATAGATTTTTTTATCTTCCTTTACCTTCGATTTATATTCTAGGCAAGTAGTTGATCAGTGTTCTCTGCTATCTATAAGTTAAAATATTTTGTCTATGTTTTTGGTGGCAAATTCAGCTCAACTGAACTCTAGAGTCTAGATCATTTATTTCTGGATCCGAATATTCAAGTAAATTTTCGTTCTTAGTATATACTAGGTACTTAAATCAAAAATTAGACACTTACAAAACTAAAAATTTTAATTATTTAAACCTCACTGTTTTTCAGAATACTTCGTTCATGGGGAGGAGCCGGATCCAGGGTGAAAATGGGTGGTGCCACAATAGGCACATGCCCCGACATGTGTCCCGAGAAAGAATTACTCCACAGACAAGCAGAACATCAGGTAAATATATTGTAGAATTAACTGATTCAGCAAATGCACACCACACACGCATTCCTTAATTTTCAATGATTTTTCTATGCTATTGGCTGCAGCATGATGTTATATAGGCTTAAAGCCTTTTTGATAAATGGTCTTTGAATCAAGAGTTCCAAGTTTAGCATTGTCTAATAAACAAACAAACTCTTCAGCTGTAAGTACTGTCTTTAAAGGTTTAAAACGCCAAATACTTTATTCTTCTGATGGCCAAGGCTGCTGCAAAGTATCCTAAACATCGGGCCGTAGTTTAATTATTAGTAAATAAGTAGATATTATAACTATATTTCTTAAATCTTCCTTAAATATTTATTTAAATCTTCACCTTTGTTATATTAGTATAGAGCAAAACTTATTGGGAATTTTAGGTTAATCAGCTGTGTTTTTAAGTAAATTTTCTTTTTCGTTTTTAAGTAAATAGATATCACTAACCATTAGTCCTATGAGGTAGTTAAATAATTATATTGCTTACAGGTGATGACGTTAGAAACAATAGTCGATTCAGATGGATTGCTTGAGCCATGGAGAGCTGTCAAGCAGTACAGTCGCAGCTCGGCTGATCAGGAAATGCCCATGTGCTACGAATTGCGACCGGCCAGGGTCCTCATGAGCACTTGCGCGTATCTTCTGCATGAGATAGCTGACACAACAAGACAAGTAAGTTCCATAAAACATTCTTTTTTTTCTGAGTTTAAGCTTACTTCTATATGTAATATCAGTCTCATAAAATCAAAATTGAATGACATTTATTTTTGTATGAAAGTATTTTCATACAAAAATAACTGTTGATATCCTTATCAAAATTACAGGTATCATTGGCAGATTGGTTCCATTTTATGTGGGATCGTTTAAGAAGCATTCGGAAGGACATCACACAGCAAGCTTTGTGTTGTTCAGGTAAAATATGTATATATAATGTCTTTGTATATTTTATGTACAAAACATTAGAAATTAAAATGTGACATTTTACTGAAAATTCCTAGAATTCTTTTTAATAGAACCACTCTGTAGCACTTCTCTTTACTCTACCATACCTTATTCAGATTCCATTCGATTGGTGGAGATGTGTGCGAGGTTCCATGCCCACTGCGCAGCGCGGCTCGCCGACCTGGAGCATACGCAGTTTGATCAGAAACTGAACACGGATAACCTTACCAAATGTCTTCAAACCCTCAAGCACATGTACGCAGATGTTCAGCCTGAGTTTAAACCGAAAGAGGCTGAGTTTAGAGGCTACATTGCTCTTCTCAACCTTGGAGATGCCAACTTTTGGTGGGAGGTCAGTACTTGAAGCATTTTATTTAAATCATATAAACAAGACATAAATTGCTGAATCATGTAAATAACTATGAAGCTTTACATAAATTTATGCAGTAGTAAATAGATAAAGAACATATTCTTTTCTATATTTTCAGATCAAACAATTACCTACTGAGATTCAAAAGTCAGAAGCAATAATATTCGCCATCAAAATTTTCACGGCATTGGACAACAATAATTATGTGAGGTTCTTCCGTCTTGTGCGTGATGAGGCCACTTATCTTCAAGCCTGCATCCTCCTGCGATACTTCAACGACGTCCGGGCCAGGGCGTTGGCTAGAATCGTGAAGGCCTATGCTCCTAGAGGCGGCTCCAAATATCCCGCTGAGGAACTAATGAACTCTCTCGCCTTTGAAACCGTAGAGAGTATGAGGTCCTTTGTAAATCACTATGGTTTACGTTTCTCCAAAAACGATACTGAATTAACCGTAATCTTAGATCGAAATCAGTTCATTGAAGACAGTGATCCTTACCCATTGGCTAGAGCACTCCACCTCATAGAATCAAAAAGAAAAAGCACTGTAGCCGAAATTATTTCTGGTGGAGATTTACCATATTTTAATTATAAAAATCATACCCTACACACTAGCTTTGATATGGACGGAAAACTTAAAGAGTCATCTTTAATAGCAGAGGATCTTGGATATAATACGCTTAATGACACCAATAAGGAGGTCAAGTCTTTGAAATCAGAAGTGCAAAGGTTGGGTAGGGGTGGAAAAACATTCAACGTCATAGATAGACCTGCTGATACTGGGAAATCTAGTTTTGTTAAACCGGCGGCGATGACTCCACCAAAATCTGTAAAGATACCTGTTCATAGTACAAATGGAGACAAGTCCTTTTTTTTCCAACCAGCTGTACCTATAAATCTACCTGATAGTATTAAAAAATCACCAGTCTTAACAGGCGACACGAAGAAACAATTTATGTTTTCGCCTCCACAGCAGTCACAGCCAGACAGTTTTGTGCAGAAATCAGGTCCAACCAAAAACCTGTTTGCTGATAAATTTTCATCAAGCAACAAACTGTTTGGAAATGATAACAAAAAGGACTTGTTCAAATCATCTACTGCTGGTTCAGTATTTGGTCCAGATCCAAGAGTCGAGGCTGAAAAGAAAACACATGAGCTGCCTAGTAAAAGTTTGTTCTCTAATGCCGCAAGCGGAAATATTTTTGCAAAGAGGGATGAGCCAAACAATATTTTTTCAAACGCACAAAATAAAAATATATTCAACAAGCCTACCGAGGCTTCTAATGTCTTTGGAAAAATCTCAACAGAAGACCAGAAATTGAATGCAGCAAGTGTGTTTAGATCCTTTACAAAACCACAAGAATTAGTCTCAAATGGCGAAACTGGTCATGTATCCCCAGGAACATTATTTAAACAAGCAAATAATCCCCTTTCATTGCAAAATAAGTTGCCACTTAATCAAAGTAACCTCGATAGATCGTCGATGCCAAGTAACTTGTTTGGCCTTATAAAACCATCTCAACCTGTGGATATTTATGAATTTAATGAAGATTCAAACAGTTATTCCACAGAGAATTCAGAGAAGTTAGAAAAGGAAAGGTTAATGAAAGAAGAAGCAATAAGAATAGAAAAAGAAAAGGAATTAGAAGAGATACGGAAAAGGGAACTAGAACGAAAAGCAGAGGAGCTGGAGCAACAAGAGGTTCGAAGAAAGCAAGAAGAACTAAAGAGATTGGAAGAAATTCGTAAAAAGGAAGAGGACAGAAAACAAGAGTTATTGAAAAAGAAATTAGAAGAAGAACGTCAAGCTGAGTTTAAGAGAAAAGCTGAGGAAGAAGAGAAGCTATTTAAAGAAAGAGTGGATAAAGAATCAAGTAGCGTGATAGAGGAGTTAGTGAAAGAAGTAAATTCTGAAATTGTAAGCTGTATTATGAAAGAAGAAATGGAAAAGTTTAATAATATTATAGCAACGACAGAACAGATGTCTGATGAAATACTCCAAGAGATAATAGATACAACATGTCGGGTTGAGTTAAAAGCTGAAATGTTTTTAACGCAGAGGTTAATGAAGAAGTGGTTTTATATATGGCGAAAACAAATTCTAAGGAATTTCAAAAGAAGGCGTCTTCTAGAAGATACACCCGTTTGGTTACCGAATAAAACGCCATTAGAGGAAGCTCAAAGTTTAAGAAGACTGTCGGAAAAGGCGGCATTATCTCGGATGAATGCTTTTCACAGGGGGCAAAATTTTAATGGCCAACCACGTGAAATTCCCCCGCCTAAACGTTACAATCTCGTAGAAGTTATTAGGTCGTCATTATTGAAACGGATGAAACAGATAAATTATCCCTGCAATAAGTGTTTCTTTTGGAAGCTTACAATCGTTTCACCGGGTTCCATGAAGTGGTTCTGTAGGAAGATCAATATTGAAACGTGGTTGCTACACGCTTTCCGAGATGAAGGAAATGAAGCAAAAGAAAATCTCATTCATGTTGGAAAACAATCTTGGAATAATTTAATGGAGTTTTCCACGGCTACAGCATTGGTCAATAATGATAAACCGGAAATATCTCCAACCGCTGTCGAGGGCACTAATGGTATTATTTATTACATGTGTCAAGACGACCTTAATATTGAGAATATAGAAAAAGTTCTGAGACATAAGCCTGCATTCCATATAGTGCCTATTGCTATTATAACAACTCCCATCACAAATGCTATAATACAAAACAATCTAGAAAAAAGACTAGCCGAGCTAGTCAAAGGTCAGGTAATTTCTGAATATAGGATATTAATAGTAGAACCGACTAATCTTGCCATGTCTCTGGACAATTTAACGAAAACTGCATCAAAATGGCTAGCTAGGAGATGTCCAGAACCACCGCCACTGGAAATGGACACGTTAAAGTCTATTTGTCAAAGATATTTGGGTTCCGATATTTGGCACAGATTAAAATCTGACAACGATAGAAGAGTACTAGATGTATTGACGGATATCAAGAAACTAGTTCAATATTACAATATAGCTGTTGAAAAATTAACGTCAGTCATTACCGATGAAAAGCTATTCAATTATACGGCATTTCCTGATGAATTCAAGAAGTATTTGGATTTTTCAGTTCCCTGTCCGAAACCATATGAATACATTTCAAATACTCTCAGAAATACAGAAAACACAAATGCTATCAAAGATATCATGCAAAGATTAAAATTGCACAGTCCTCGTTTTCTTATATCTCCCAACAGTGAACTGGACATGCAAGACCAAGTTCAGCAGTACTGTCACCAAATTGGTTGGTTCAGAAATCCGGAAGGGCTCGAGTGTACTACTGTATCGTGCCTACCAAATAATATTGTCTACGACACTACACCAAGCGATAGCTTTGTAAAATTCTTCGAACAGTACAATTTATCAGAGATATTAAATATAATTGTTTATGAAAAAATAAGTATACTCAAGGATTTCAGCGAACGCTTTGCTATATATCATAAGTCTGTCATGGAAGACTTTCGTAATGTGAATTGGTTGTATGATATAGATATTATCTCTTCCATAAAACATAAGGCTGATGTAACTGAAGACGACTTAGACTATTTTATAGAGGCGAAACGGCGCAAAATCGATGATTCCTGTGAATACCTTGCTTTGGAAGACGCAGATTGTACTAGGGTAGAATGTACTCTGGCATCCGTGGACAGAAGTATTTCAATGTGCAACAGTTATAAGAAGGTTGTATCCGAACTTGAAACGCAACTAGATGAAGGGAAAAAGAAGTCTGATCAATTAGAGCGATTGCTTCAGGCAGCACTAAATGATGCCTAATTGTACTAATAATCTTTATAAATCGATGCTTTATAGTATGTATATATCATTGTACTAAAGTCAATTTGAATTTTACTGTACATTGATTTATGGGCTGATTAATAAATATTTTTATACAAACGTGTTTACTTTTACATAACACATCTTCTAAAGGGCAAGGGGAACGAATGTCGGGGCCACTTCTATAATCTGTTCCTATCTGCCTACTTCATTGGTTGTGTGGAATTGTAATATTTTAACTTATTACTGTATTTTTGTAATAGGGAAAAAAGTATTGAGTCAAAATCACAATACTAAATTTGATATAGTTAATTTGATTGAAAATGAGAAAACAAATTGACAAAAGCACTTTGAAAAATGATTTTATTCATCATAAGGCATTTCATTCATGAAGTTTCTGTAATGGTAATTGGATCTATGACATATTACTAAAAAAATGGCTAATGTTGAAGTTAGTTTAGAAATATAATCAACTCGGCAGATAACTAATAACTATTAGTTATTACTACAAAATATTGTGTCATTACCATTGTTGTGGTAGTACATGAAAAAATATAATTTATTATGTGTGTCAACAAAATTGGTGCTAATATATATACTTAAACTTTTTTGCCTTTTAATACTTTGATTGCACTGTTAATACACCTGAAAATAAGTTTAACTGTGTGTGTGTGTGTGAAATCCCGTTTCCCCTTCGTGGGGCATGGGGTAAACACATTTCTGTTTCCGTTTCACTGATCCGTTCTTTAACAGGCAAGTTGATCAGACTTCTGCGCCTTGCCTGACCGAAACAATTTTTTGTTTCTCTGGGATTCGAACCCAGGACCTCTCGCGCTTAACGCAATGCTAGGCAATACATTTAACCATTTGGTTTCAGAGGCGCTTGGAAAGGCGGAGGTGTGCATTATACAAATGTTAATAAAACTATTTCCAAAAACAAAAATCCTTTTTGATCATATTTCAATAATGTCATTTTTCATACAAAATAAATAGTATTTTGGACAGGTTGAATTTTGCCACACATGTTATTAAAATTAGTAATGACCAAACACGCTTTAACACGCTAAACATTATGAAATATTGTTTTCACTGATATTTTTGTTAACTAAATAAAAAGGCACAGGATCCTTGACTACAGAGCCATTTTTAATGAAATTTTCAAATATATCAAATAACCCTTTCTTTTTCAATTGACCTTTCACAAACTTTTGGCTTTATGAGCCAAACATTTTAAAGTATTTTGAGTACAAAGTTTACAAGTCAAAATTTGGTAAAAGGTGTATAACAATTAAAAAATTGGTGTATTGTAGGAGGCCTGAGTCCATCCAAATCATTTCTTCACATCAATTATTATTTTGATTAAAAATATGTTTTTAATTCATGTGTTTTGCACAATGTTAAGACAAGCGTCAACAAACTCAGTAAATATAGGCTCTTGCATGTATTTTTTCATCAGTTCATCAGGGTGAGGGGATTTATCTAACTCCATAAGGATTTGTCTCAAGTGTGGGTTCTCTAAACAAGTCTTTACATCTTTTGATTGTTCTGTGAAATAATAAATTATTAAAATGACAATAAAACTCATAACTCAATAAAAAAAAAATATTGGATATGGTTTGCAAAATGTTTACCTAATAAATTTAGCTTCTCTATGGGTACTGTATCTTCAGTTGGAAATTCGTAATTAGAAGTAGATGAGTTTGGCAAGTCGTTTTCTACATCATGCTGTGGCGGTGCACAAGGCTTTTCTTTGTGAAGTTTGCAGCACAACACTGAACAACTGCAAATAATTGAAGTAAATAACCTTTTCACGGTTCAAAACTTAAATATATTTGTTGACTTTTTAACATTGACACGTTTCGAATGCTTTGCAGCAAGCCTGCAGGCCGATTCTCGTATTAATATAAGTTAAGCAGCAGCGCAATCAAAAAAATTATAACATAACATTAATCAAAAACGATATAAAACTTACTAAGGTTGTCTGCACGTTGGACACTTGTATTTTGGTGTCTCACCACATTGTATGCAACTGTCGATCGTCATTTCAATAATATTAAAGAGTGTAACGTCTAAATAAATCAAAACAAAATTTATTTTCTGAGATTTTAGGGAAGATAAGTATTATTATCGATGGTAAAGATATTTATTTTGTTTACACAACATTGTTTTTATAAAATCAAAATAATTATACTGTGTGCTTGACAGTGACAATTTACAGTTCGGTCAGTCAACAGATTATACTAGGTTTTATTAAAGTTAAGAAAGTACAATCTTACAATACATATAAATACCTACATAGTATAGTTATTATAAACCTAATATGTATCGTAATAAAAAAATCTTCCTAGAATTAATTTTTGTCAATTCTTTTTAAGTAGCAATAAAGTACACAAAATGTTTTATAATACATATTTGAGAAACATTTAGTAGTAAGTAAATTAAGTTTTTTATACTACTGCAAAGTGTGAATAATTAGAAAAAAAATTATTTTAGAAGTGATAAGTTCTAGTGAAAGAGTGAACAGCATCGTTATATGATCCGACGTTATATACGACCGACGTAACTTGGCAAGTCTGAACATAAGTTAGACAAACTTCGGCGCATGTACACTCGTAGAAAAAACTAATACTGTCATTTATTTTCGTAACTGGGACCAATAGAAGAGTTTACATATAGCAAGTAAAAGTAACATACCGTTATTGATTCAAAGAGAATAAGGGCTACGAACACCTATCTTCCACTAAAATACTGAAACACAACAAAAATATAACAAACGAGAAATAATAGTATTAAAATATTTAACAATAAACAATCACTTTTCTAACGGACTGCGCTCAAGACAGAGATAAAGAAATAAACGCCAAAAAGTGACCGAGACACACTACTTATGTTTACCGAACATTACCGAATATGTACGAAGCTTTACGAAGTAGTCCAATAGAGATGTCCATACTCGCTCCTTGAGAGTGTCGTTTAATTGATTCCTATTGAAATATACAAAATTAGATCGTAGGAATATATTTGTATAAAAAGCTTTAAAGAAGGTAAGAATATATATTAATAGTAATTAAATAAATAATAAATCATATTTAACTTAATCACGTGGTTTAAGTTTTTCAATGAATTTATTTTCCTATAATAGTAATCATGGTATCGTTTATTAACAATACCATTCACTGAGCTCATAAATCCATTTACTACAATATCCTATACAATTAAAAATCCATAATCGAAATCGATAAAAATTGATTACGAAATTGGAAAGAATAAACGGTCGATTGTTTTGACATTGAGTCAATCTCTATAAACCTAGATCTCCGCCCCGCGCACCTTCCTCTTACTACCGTTAACATCCAACAGGACCATTTCTGTGCAGCGTTTCGCGCTAAGATCAGTCTTGCCAAGTTACGTCGGCCCTATTAAAATGCATTACGGCCTGTGTATGTCTAATCACCTTGATCGTATTTATTCTCTTCAGCTTAGAATCTTAAAGAAAATTGTTCCTAAAAACATTGAAACAAAATTTACACAAGATTATCGACAGTTATTCGCATTCTGTAAAGTAATACCTATACATGAAAGAATAGAACTAAATATCCTAACTGAAAACTATTACACAAACAATTTCAATAAAATAGAGCAAAAATATTACTCGGCCAGAAAAAGGGACATGACCTACTTGCAAGTGCCATATTACAACAACCTATATGGAAAAAGAACACTCGGCTATGTCATACCCAAATTAGTTAATTTATTACCAAATAGGTTAAAAATGTCACTTACCACAAAAAAATTTAAAACCAAATTTAAAAAATTCTACTCCCTCCAAATATCTTCTAATTAATGTTGCGACTTGATTGTTTACTGCTTATGCGTGAAATTGTTTGTAATATAACTATATTCCCTCCGACATAAGGTTACGCTGTACAAAACTTGTATTCGTCCGATTCTCACCTACTCCAGCGTCGCGTTCGCCCACGCCGCCCCTAGCACACTTCACAGGCTCCAGGTGCTTCAGAATCGGTTCACTCGAACCGCGACTGGAGCCATCTGGTGCGTGCGGAATGCAAATCTCCACGCCGACCTCGAATTACCGACCCTCAGTCGGTACTTCAAGGAATCGTCCGAACGGTTCTTTAAAAAAGCCGCGTCGCATCCGAACCCACTGGTGGCCCGAGCCGCCAACTACACCGTTCCCGTCAATACACGCTGGAGAAGGCCGCGTAATGTTCTTACCGACCCCGACGACGATCTAACGAAAGCCGTCGATTTCCTTACCGCTTTGCGATCGGCCGACACCGGCGCTGATCGCCCGCAAAACCGCCTACGCCGGCGTAGGCGAGGTCACTCGCTACGCGTACCGCTCACCCGGGTGAGCTTCCGTCCAGCTCTTCAAGCTCCCACCCTCATTGCGGCGGTCCAAGCCGAGGCCGATGCCCCCCTCGGGGCACCCTTGGTCTAGTCGCAAACACGGCGAGCGCTAACGCGCTCGCCCAAAACGTCCGGTTAGTATTCGTGGCTCCATAGGAACACAATACGTAGTAATCAATTCAAAAAAAAAAAATATAACTATATATACATGTATAAATGTAATGTGTGCTGAGACGAGGGCGTCACGGAAAAACTCGAATGAGTTTTTGTTGACGCTTATGTTAAAAATAAAATGTAAAAATTTTGAATAAATAATAATAAAAAAAAAAAAATATTATATCTGTAGGATGATTCAAGAATTAAACGTATTTTTATAATAAATCTGTTGTAATAGTTTTTTTTTATAAAATCATATTATTTCAAAACGATTAAATAAGCGTAACTTATAGTTCGTTGTGCGTCATAATACGGTCAAAGACATAGTAATTAAAATCAGGTGGGTTGGCTCCAGATTCTGCAGCCGCCAAGGAATGGTATCGAGATCGCAGATGGTGTGCACTTGCCTTAGGTTGTCTTGATCTAGTGAATATCCCCTTTTTATTGCCCCCTACCCGCGTTATACCTGTTAAAATAATAATACCAAAGATTATGGTGCTTTACTAACTTTTGCTTTGCTTGTTATGTTTAATTATAAATTTAAATATGCAATATACTCACTTACAAGTTTGTTTCTAATATAATAAATAAATATACTAAAGCAACTAAAATTATCTTTTATTACGAACATTCTTTTCAAGCTCTAATGTGAGTGAAAAACCAAAGAAATACGCACTTTGTGGAGTCTTAAAATCGGCGAAATTCCATATGAATTCACCAGCAAAGAATCCGCTTTGTCGGAGTTTGTCAAATGCTTTAAAATGTTCTGACATCAATGCAACTTGGTACTCTTCGGACCACACGTATTCAGGATACTGAAAAAAGTAATAGAAATTATTTTATTAACGAATATTTCATATTTTATCCAATAGAAATACAGATTTAATTATTAGAGTAAAATAAAACCATTGTCTTAGAATAAGTCTTTCCTCCCACCCATGGAAGCAGCCGTATTACATTTCGCGTTTAAAACTGTTAAAAGTATTATTCAATTGTGTACTCGCGTAAATTACAAACAGTATTTAAATCAAATATAAGTCAAGAAATTTTTGCTTTAATTGATGACATCAACAACAAACGCAGTAATATCGAAATGAACACTAGGTAAGTTCCATTGACAGACATACAATTTCTTTAAAGCAACATATAATATGTCTTATTATTAAAAAATAGGATAATAATATGATGAAGTGGTCTGACCTATCTAGTTCTTATGAAAAATTGAAAAAAAAATATCTAAAAATCTACGGCGTACGTAATTGTTACTTACCAAATGCAATCCAGCCAAAGTATCAGCGCCATACTCCGTCATGATGACCGGTTTATTGTGTTCTTGGTGCCACTTTGTTGCTTCCTCGAAAACATTGGCAGTTATATTGTCCAATATACCGGCATCGTGATACCAGCCGTTGTATCGATTAAAACAAATGACGTCTAAGTGCTGGCCCTGAAATGGACGCCTAATATCAATACAAGATGGCCGACAAATAAATATCTTTTAAATAAAACACTTTAACGGTTTAAAACGCGATATATTAGTTAAACTTATTTAATAATATTTAAATAAGTTTAACTAATATATCGCGTTTGAAACCGTTAAAATGTTTTATTTAAATGTGTACTACTCGCGTAAACTGCGTACTCTGTTTTAACCTAAAAAAATTAAAGGAGTGTTTATAGAATTTAAAACCACACACACAACAGACGTACAACAACGTGGTAGGTATTTTATATAATTCAAAATAACTAAACAGCTGGCTAAATAATCTAGATTGCTAAAAAATAACGTTTTAAATTAATCCCTATCTAATTTTCTATATTTATTCGGGAAAGGCTGGATTCAACTAGCGAACGACCGGTCGTACTGGAAGTCTATGGGGGAGGCCTATGTCCAGCAGTGGACACCGTACGGCTGAATCGAATTCGCGTGTATTAAAGAATTAATACATCGACGTCTTAGATTAGTATATAAAAATATGTTTTTTTAGAATAAGGGTAGAATGAAACAATTACATTTGTACTTTAGCATAGTGTTTACTTTTTAGTTTTTTACATCTTATAATGTCATAGAAAGAATTATACACACTACTAATACTTATTTGTAGATAACCTTTCTATATTTAGTTCTGGCAAAATATTTCTCGACTTATAAGTACTTATGTTCTCTATTAAAACTGTAAAGGGAGTAAAAGATATTGAGAAAGCATTCGTATTGCATAGGACGGATTTAAAGGACGGCCTGTGTCTTGAAGAATTTGTTTATGATTAATCTATTTGAGACGATATTATATTTGTCTGAAAATCTTTATTTTATATTATAATAAATGTTTTAATACATTTTGTTGTAAATCTTGTAAATAAGCTTTTTTATCAATTGATAACTTTGATAAGGTAAATCTTAGAATAAAAAAGAAGTCTTTTTGCCATTTATTAATCAAAATTATCCAACGCTATGTCTCAAACACAATGTTACTATAGACTGTAATTTTAGTTTGCGGGTATTTTTAAACACTGGCCGTTTACATTTAATTTGCTAAATTAATAGGTGGGTATTCTAAAACTTAACATCGTCTTAGTCTATAATACAGTTAAATGCATAAGTAAATTGTACTTTGCAGCACAAATTACAACCTCAAAACTGTCTTTTCAGTTCTTATAATTAAAAAGATGCTAAAATACACACACGGAACATTCCATTCTATTGTAAAATAGGCAGTGCTTATTTTGAGAATATTTTATAACTAACTAACGATATTAATTTAATAATAGAAACATTTTTATTTAATACTAAATCATCATAATTTAATATTGTCTGGCAACACTGGGTAAGGTAACTAGTACAAGGTTAATATCGTCAAATTGATTGTCATTGTCATTTTGTTAATAACACTATAGTCAAAACTTTGAATGAGATGTATTTGTATATGAAAAGGACGTACTTTGTGAGATGTGTCAGCAAAATATCTTTTATTAATCTAGATTAAAAATTAGCACTAATCAGCCTATACGATGACTTCTAGACGACATTTCCAATTAGATAATCTACAGTTTTTGTGGATCAATACTGTTTTTAAAGCTCCTCGTGCGCCGGTGGTTTGTGATCGCTGATGTAGTAAGCGATGTCGGGTGGTGGCGCCCCTGACTCTGCCGCGGCGAGGGCGAGATACCTCGCTCGCAAATGATGCGCAGACGCCTTGGGCTGTCTCGATCTCGTGAAAATACCCTTCTTGTTGCCACCAACTCGTGTTATAGCTGTAAACATAGATGGCAATAAACCAGTCTGTTTAAAAGTTATACGGACATATATTTGAAGACATCTATGATATACGTAGGTACTTTTATCTCTCTATGTCTCTTTATATAGCAGAGAGACGAGCAGTTGATAGCGATTCTTCGTAATGTAAAGTGACTCGGTCTTAGGCGGTTTCTTCCCAGAAAGAGCCCTTGGTTTTTTAAAGTAGAACAATGAAACTTTCTTCTTTGGCTTTTTGGGAGTAGGAATGGGAGTGGGCATGGGCATGGGAGTGGGAGGGAGTGTAGGAATGAGAGTAGGAGTTAAAATAGGAGTGATGTGAGGTGAGAGTGTTGCGGGAAGTAGCACTGAGAACATAGATTGGCTGCCTTGAATGCGCCCTTACATAAATTAAATTTTACCCCAAGTCACTATTCCACGCGGACGAAATCGTGGGCACAGCTAGTATTTAATATAAACAAGATTTAAGTCACTTAATATATGAAATATATTTACTTACTTTGTGTTGTTTTAAAATCGGCAAAGTTCCAAATGAATTCGCCAGCGAAAAATCCGACGCGGCGTAACCTATCAAAGGCCTTGAAGTGTTCAGACATCAGCGCCACTTGGTACTCCTCGGACCAAACGTATTCGGGAATCTAGAAAGATCGTGCAAGTTACCCCACAAGCAAATGGCAAAATTAATTTCAAATAAGAATCATATTGGGTTTTTAATGCAATAAATTCATGCAACTACTTCTAATCTACACACGATAACAATAGTCATTGTATGTTTTGAAATGGCAGTGAAAAGCTCTATGCCCAAAAGGATCAAAACCTTTTTTAAATATTTGTGCGAATTGTTTTAAATATATAAAGCAACCCCTTAGTGTATCCTGTCTTAATGATGGTAGTCTAAGATTTATTTTCTCATGGTTAGTCTAGTGGAACGTACATCGGACGTCTGTTCGTGAGGTCGTGAGTTCAATTTCATCGTGCACGAAATTATGTTAGTGTGGGTATATTTTCGCAGTCGGTGATGCAAAACATCACTGACTAGTACCTGCGCGAAACCGCACACCTTGGAAACAAATATTCGACACTTGACCAGTGTAGTAAATTAAGGAACTACAGAGGGAACTATGAAAGAGCTTCATGAAGACGTTTTGTGTCGTGTCCACAATGGATACATACCAAATGTAACCCAGCAATGGTATCAGCCCCATACTCAGTCATGATAACGGGTTTGTTATATCTGCGATGCCAAGCTGTGGCTTCTTCAGTGACATAGGAGGCTATATTAAGCAATGAGCCCGTGTTAGCGTACCAGCCATTGTAACGATTAAAGCAAATCACATCCAGATGTTGGCCCTAGAAGCAAATTTTAAGTTTGGCTTACTCAACGGTTCTCCATTATCTCCACTTTAAATAGAGGCACACTCGTTTTATTAGACACCGAACGCTCCGTGGAAAAAAAATGATTACGTTTGAGGGTCCATAATATATACAAAGAAATTCATCTAAAGAACAGAGACGCGAGGCGTAGCTATGGAATCGTTTGTGACAAGTAGTAAATGAGCGACGCCAAAGTATGTTACTATTGAATTAATGTACGATATACGTAAAAATTTCTAAACGTTTGACAAATTAATTAAAATTTATTCTCAGAATAAATATTTTGACAAAAGCTTCTAAGATTGTTTAGTAGTTAAAATAATTTTAATTAGGCCGTTCCCGGCGGCACTGCAATGCCGGGCCGACCCGCGACAGGAGTGGAGCGAGCCCCGAGCATCCCGTCAGCTTCCAAAAATCAGTTTAATATACTGGTCCCGCGATGCGGGAACTTTCAGATATTAAGCTGAAAAGAACAGATACTACACTTTGATCTTAGCCAAAAGGCCGAGAAGCGATAACATGTAATTTTTAAACGAAACTATATACTTCAAAGGAAGAAGACTTCTCTTGCGCGATCTCGATACGACGTCAGTCGACTAACGCCATCTCGCGATGCTTTATTACAACTTATCTGTTGTTTTGAATATTGAAGGACAAAGATATTTTCTATAAGTTAATAGACAATAAATTGTATTGTATACTTACCGCTTTGTCGTTTAAGTAGGACTGTGAAATCGCTATAGTTACTGGCCTCGATAAGTCCATTGATTTAACGTGTTTCACCACTTTGCTGGAATTAAGTGTAAATTACAAATCATTCAATTGTACTGTCCCAGAATTACACAATTCTATTTAAAACGAGTTACTTAATATTCTATATAACTTTGGGCATATATATTGTATGAGAACAATTTATAAAGACAATAAATTATGTTTAAAAGGTAGTAAATTATTATAAGAATATTTTAATGTCTTGAAAATATTGTCTCCGCTGTTTACACAAGTGCTAGACATTGACACACTGTTTAATGTCAAATTTTTACTGACTTTACCAGTGACATTACAAGTTACTTGACTTGACCAGTGGATTTAAAATGTCTACATTTTACTTATTATATTTACCCAAAGTAGGCATCCGCCTTATAATTTGCCGATCTTGGCTCGTTACTGATCGACCACATCACCACGCTGGGATGATTTTTGTCCCGTCTTATCAATTCAGTCAACGATTGCTTGTGCTTTTCTAGAAGCGCGTCCGTGAATATACTGTAATTTAAAAATATTAGAATAGATGCGAAAATCTGGTTGCCTGGCTCAAAAATTTAATAACTAAACGGAATATGAAGCCGCTAAAAGTAGTTGCAAATTGTCTGCATTGAGTTACAATCTACGAGAGCTCAGTGGCCGAAAACTGTGACAATAATTTTTACATAAATAATACTCAAAATTCATTTTTTGTTATTAGGTCACTCTGCCTCTACCAGCATCATATATAACATGTACAAATTATAAAACCAAGCATCGTCCATTTTTTTTCAAAGTCAGAAGATTTTTAATTTATGTTATATATACAATTTCATGTCAACTTCCAATTACAATATTTACATAAAAAAACGTTGACTTGTAATTTGTAAGTGAATCATATTCATATTGTTTAGATAAAAAATGCAGTTTACCTTAATTGGCTCTATTTCAATATAAAAATATAATTTTACTTTAAGCTACATTTGATAGTAAAGTTTCTTACTCTGTGTCGCCACTTGGGCATTCGTCGATGATCATAATTCCTTGCTCATCCGCCATTTGGTAGATCTCTTCGGCGTAGGGATAGTGTGACGTTCGGAAGGCATTCGCCCCGACCCACTTAATCAGATTGAAATTCTTCACCCAAAGCACTGGATCCCAGCCTTTACCTCTCAACTAAAATCGTGAAAATATTGTAATAACTTATTGATAAGTAGATACGAAAAAAATAGCGTACACGTGAAAACTTTTTTTTCTAATTATTATTTTTGTAATTGTATGTTTTAAATACCCCCGCCCAACATCTAAACAAGACGCACTGTCGATTTTGTCTTTGGATATTAGGAAATCCGCAGACTTAAACCGAAACGCGATTAAGCTTGACGACTTTTTTATCTGTGGATGGTGATTTTAATCGGACGGTATTTCAATATTCCTACGCCATGCCACACCATTCCTACCCATTTAATATCCAGATTTCCAGACGATGTCTAGCAAGTTTTGGAAAAAATATACATTAATTAGAAAAAACGTTGGAGTTGGTGGGGATCGAACCCGTACATCGCCACCATTACAACGACGAACTCGTCGAAAATCTTAATTGTTTAAGTCATGAGTTATCGTCTGAGACTCTTTTTAACCTAAAAATAAAGAGTCTCAGGATGATTACAATAATTTAAAGAAACTTACATCCGAGTCCTCGTGCATCCCAAAACCTTTCATATAGATAGGTTTATCATTCAAATAGACTGTTGTGTTGCTCCAAGTCACTGTTCTGATGCCGACCTTTAGACTGTAGGTGTCCACCAGTTCTCCTAACGGACCGATAAGCGTTGCCTGAAAGTAATTAAGATGATATTAGTTAATACATAGGTCAGCAATTGTTTAAGTGTCCTCCGGTCGTGACCAAAATTGCTGCATAGCATCGTGTAGCAAATAGCAGAAGAAAGGAGGAGATCTTTCGTTAAAAATTACACAGAAAGACAAAGGACAGTATACTTAAGGATATGCATAAATTATTAGAAAGACGAAATAAATGACAAGGGAGATTCGATGTCGCGACATATGTATGTCTTATATCAAACTTATGTTACATAGTTCCTTGTTTATGATATAGAAGATAGACGAGAATGGTTTATGTAAGCCATATAACAACTAAAAATTTGCCTTATTATTGATATTCAATATCCAAGACTGAAACCATGCTTTGTATTCCTACCACCCAAAAAATTTCAGGTATTCAATAACTGTCTATATTTAGCGAGTAGTACACATTTAAATAAAACACTTTAACGGTTTAAAACGCGATATATTAGGTAAACTTATTTGAAAATGATTTTTAACTTCGGCCCGGCGTTTCGGATGCTTTGCAGCAGCCGTGGTCACGGGGGGAGGGGGGGAGACTAAAGATGGAGGGCCGAAGTTAAATAAGTTTAACTAATATATCGCGTTTTAAACCGTTAAGGTGTTTTATTTAAATGAAGTCAAGATGTTTCGGAATAATTACAAATTTAGAAACACGTTAGGACCCGGGTTGGGGTTCAAACCCACGACCCGTTGATTATTAGCCATGCATTGCCACCATTACACTGAAAGGTCGTGCCGCGTATTGGAGTCTTGCGTGTGGCATAATTTTTTTAATAATTTAGTTACCTTGAAAGTATACAGATATCCCGGGTCTGGATGCATTAAGTAAGGCCACCAGAAGTTAGCATTGCCAACTTCCAGCAGTCCAGCGCAGTCTTGGGAGCCTGCTACTTGAGTGTCGTTCTTGTCAAACAGTTGAATGACGCACTGGGCGTTGTTAAGGCTTTTGAATGTCACGTTGTATACTACGAAACCTGCGAAACAATAATAATATAGATGTTTAGAAATCTCGTCCTTTTTGTGGGAAAAAAATTTTTTGGGGGGGGGGGGAAGGGGGGGAAAAAACCCCCTTAAAAAAATTTTAAAAAAATTTTTTATCACTTTGGATTTTTTTCTATATATATATGGGAGAATATGTTTATAATGAAATATATGAAATGAAAAAGTAGTATTTACAGCCAAGTAGTAAATTAGACTTCTATGCACTGTATAATAGCGGCGATTGTAAGATTTTTTTCCCGGGAGTCGAACTCAGGACCTTCGAGTACGTAATGAAATATCTGACATATCCTATGTCTCGCCTAGATAACGTGTTTTGTGTTTCGTTAAAAACATCTATGTTGTACAAAGAACATAGTGAATAGGATAAAATTATATATAGGTCAATTGTATTGTAGTATATGCGAGAAGTACACATTTAAACGAAACACTTTTACCAGTTTAAAACGGGAAATATATTACTCAATTTATATTTATATATGTCTATTTTAACTACGGCCCAACGATTCGGATGCCTTAACTTTAACTCATACATTTCGCGTTTTACATCGTTAAAAGTGTTCTGTTTAAATATATGCTCTGCAAATACAATAATTAATATTATATTAACTGAATTTTCATTTCTACCACGGTTGCTTGAAAGAGATAGCTATTTAGTTATAAAGTCGCCGTTTTTCCTCAATTTCCATTCATTTTTATTTTTTTGGTTAAAGATTTTTTTTGTCAAAAGAAACAATAAAATGAATCTTTTAAGGCATAGTTTGAACATATTGGAGTTAAATAAATAAGTAGCTATTTTCCACACTGATTTTATTACAATAAAATTGTGGATAGTACAAATTAAAAGAGTAACACTTTAGTTAAAACCAAATTATAAGTAACCAGGTGATTCAAGCTAAATATTATCAATTCAAATATAACACATAAATTGATGTTACGCTTATATTTCGCATACCTCGAAGATCATGTAAGAAACGCAATACATTATTCATGAAATCCAAGATAAACGATCGCAGTACTTCATAAGCACAAATTAATTGCAATTAATGGATTTTCTATATTTACAGTCATCTTAACTAAGGACATCTCGATTATATTTATATCAGATCATAATTAAAGGAATTTTAATGTTTTATCTATATTTTTAACTTGCTGATTTAAAGAATTTAATTGGTATTTATTTGCGTATAAAGACAATTATAAATACACTACTTAATTAAAAAAAGAAAAGAATTTGTTTTATAAGCATACTAGCTGTGCCCGCGACTTCGTCCGCGTGGAATAGTAACTTGCTGTAGAATTTTTAATTATTTAGGCTGTTTAATAATTTATTGTAAGGGCGTATTTAATCAGCCAATCTATGTAGTGCTACCTTGCCGCAATACTCTCACCTTCATAACCCACTCTAACTCCCACTATGACTCTCATTCCCACTGCCAATCCCACTCCCACTGCCACTCCCACTCCCATAATAGTTAAAAATAAAGTCCCAAGCCTTTCTTATTTTAAATAAATGAGCGAATATTATCAATCACCTGTTAATCCTTGTATGTCCGTATTAACAATGACGTCATCGATAAATGTCTGCGGAGTTGAGTACAGGAAAACGGAGCGATGTATTCCGGCATAGTTGAAGAAGTCGAAGGTGTACGATTGTTCTTGGCGAATTTTGTTGTTCCTGTAAAATACTCCATATTTATTCAGAGACAATAGAGTTGAGGATGAAAGTGAGAAAAAGTACTCTCATATTCTTCCTCTTATATCCTTGTTTGTATATATTCTGTGCCTCTTTATCTAACCGATTTTATTTTGAGGAAAGTAAGTAAAAAACTGTTATATAGCAAAACGAAACTACTTATTAGGTTTAAATATTTTTAGTTAAACTTGTTTGAAAATTATTTTTAACAACGGCCCGACGTTTCGGATGTTTTGCTTTTTTTATTTAAATGGTGATGACGATACTCGCGTTTTAAACTACGTTACCTTTTAACTAAAGTATATCGCGTTTTAAACCGTTAAAGTGTTTTATTTAAACGTGTTCAACTCGCGTAAAATTCCGCGTTTTGGGGGGGGGGGGGGGGGGGGGGGCCAACCGGGGGGGGGGGGGGGGGGGGGGGGGGGGGGGGGGCGGGGGGGGGAAAAAAAAAAAAAAAAAAAAAAAAGGGGGGGGGGGGGGGGGGGGAAAAAAAGGGGGGGGGGGGGGGGGGGGGGGGGAAAAAAAAAAAAAAAAAAAGGGGGGGGGGGGGGGGGGGGGGGGGGGGAAAAAAAGGGGGGGGGGAGATTTTAGGGGGGGCCGGGGGGGGGGGGGGGGGGGGGGGGGGGGGGGGGGGGGGGGGGGGGGGAAAAAACCCGCCCCCCCAAAACTGGGGGGGGGGGTGGTATTTTGGGGGGAAATTAAAGGGAAAGGAAGGGAAATAAGGGGGAAAAAAAAAAAAGGGGAAAAAAAGGTTTTGGGGAATGCAAGCAAAAATAAAATTCCATCGTAAAATATCAATTTGTCGTAAAACTTAAAATTTGTAATTGTTCTCCGATATTTTGATGGCTGGACTTCAATAAAAAACTATTTGGATTTCACGTATACATCATAAAGGCACTCATAAGAGTTCAACTTTTTAATCTACCTATATTTTTCCAAAACCTGACATGCACTTAAATGACAAATACGAAACTTAATAATAATTATGAATAAAATTGGCTATGCTACGCGATCAAATGCTTTATGTAATTGCTTCACTCAATAATTCAAATAAAGCCAACATGTTGTTCCGTATAACATTGACGTTAGTAAAAGGCCAATTAAAAACGTTTGGTCGTGACAAACAAATGACGGATCCGTACTATTGCGGTGGAATCAATCAAACAAATACAAAAGACAGGGCAAACACATTTATATGTCCGTTGTACTGATCGATATCAAGTAAATACAGTCTATAGTTTATGGAGTAGTACACATTTAAATAAAACACTTTAACGGTTTAAAAGCGATATATTAGTTAAACTTATTTGAAAATATTTTTAACTTCGGCCCGACGTTTGGATGCTTTGAGCGGTCGTGGTCACGGGGAAATCATTTTCAAATAAGTTAATATAAACTAATATATCGAAACGTTTAAGTGTTTTATTTAAACGATATCAAGTAGTTAATCATATTTTCGATTGGATTAAATTATTTTTAAATTGTCATGTTAACCCGGATCTAGTAACAATTTTGTATGTAAATGTACAGTTTTAAGTACTCTTTGTTACAATGAGAAATCGACTTATATTCATTGAAAGACCTATTTGTTTTAGGACGTAAGGATAATGATCTATAATTGATCGTAATATACACGGAAATTATATTTCCTTACTTATAACTGTTGGTTGAGTAATATCCGAAGCTAGGTAACGCTTTAATTATATCAAAGAACATGCGTGACAGGTCATAACTGACAGTTATAATGTAACGTAAATGTAATCGATTGTTTTAAGCAATCGAATCAATTTGAATATAGAATTTAAAGTACGCAAATGGCGGCATAATAACGATTAATTAATCGTAACATACTAGATGCGTCAGCGTTCTTGCAAGTTAATCTTATAAGATAGACCTTTACTTCAGACATTTTTAAATCACTTTAAGAGGAATCATTATTTCCTATTTTTTTGGGTATCTGGAACCGCTTGCGCACCGTATGCAACGAAAACCCACAAGGCTGAATAATTTTCCCCATTTTGTTTCCACATTTCCCGCTGTTTCTTTAATGCTATTAGTCGCAGTTTTTATAGCCTATAGCCTTCTTCGGTAAATGCTCTAACCTACACAAAAACATGTTTTAAAGTATTACCTGAGATTAGCGCTTTCAAACAAAGTCTTCAGCTTCATATATTGGTAAGTATTATTTTGTAAATCGAACAAAGCATAGCACACGAATCTGGATAACTTTGCAAAGTATAAAATCGATCGAAGATAATTACGACAGGTGAAGCAAGCAAAATGAATTGCAATATGCCCCAAAGAAGATGAATTGTATTTTTAATAATTTGATGTACACTACACGAAAAAAATAAAACAATATTGTTGACTCGTCGAGGTCTTTAAACCAAGTGTTGGTCTTTCACAAACACTTCATACTCGAATAATGGACAGTGATACGAGTTTAAGATATATCTAAATATTTATGTGAGCACTTAAAATAATGACGGGTCGTTACCTAAGCTCAGTATTCGCGCTGTTTTTGCTTTATGCGCGAGGGGTTCGGGGTTCGAATTCCTTGAAAATTCAGCTTCACGTCTTATACACCTTTGGTCTTGTTTATTTTTCACATAGCATTATTTTTAAATCCTTAAGTAATAAAATTTTAGGTATATTTTGACATTTTTCTGTATTTACTCGCGTAACACCTGGGTAGACTTAATGATGTCATTGTCTGGGTAAATTTTCTTTTTCTTGTTGGAACATTGATTTTAATTCGATAAAATTATTTTATTTTTAGAAAATTTTACATGCTATAATTAATAATTGTAATTAATATTCTTTAATTCTAGGGTAATCAAATATAATAGGTAAAGGTTGTATTCTTTTGTTTCTCGTTTTGGTTTTTAAGACTAACTCAATCCAAATATTGAATTATCTTTCCTGATAGACAACTATTATAGTTATTCAATTGAAAAATTCACTGTGTCCCGGCGGGGTTTGAACCTGGTGAATCACAAGTATTTAAGTAAATAGGTAAAAAAGTATACTCACGAAATTATAATGTCCCTAATACTGCCCTGAGGAACAGTGTCACTTAACAGTGTATTGTCGACGACCACAGTCAGGAGATTGCTGGTGTTGTAGCTGACGAAGTCCGAGATTTCCACCTCGAACGGAAGATGGCCAATTTCATGGTACATCACTGACTGACCGTTGACCCACTGGAGATTAAAAAACATACTTAGACATAGTAAGGTAACTTAAGCATATTCCAACTTGTACTGCAGTTGTATTTATATTTAAATAAAACACTTTAACGGTTTAAAACGCGATATATATCAGTTAAACTTATTTGGAGATTATTTTAACTACGGCTCGGCATTTTGAATGCACCAGCAAAGCATCCTTTTAACTAAAGCATTTAACTAATATATCGCGTTTTAAGCCGATAAAGTGTTTTTTAATGTACTTCTCGCGTAAACTACAGACAGTATTTAGTTGTATTAATCGTTTAGTTACTCATCAAATATAATACGTTTAAAGAGAATGAAACGTGATTATTACGACCCGACATTTTACATGATTTTCCGGGAAGATACTGACCCCTCCTCCCCCCAAGAAGGGAGAGAATATACTGATGTCCAATAAACATCTGCAGCGCATCCTCATTAGATAATATTATAGGGCTGGAGCTTGTCACCTTATGTCATTCAAGTCAACTTTATGGATATCTTATCTACTTTGTACAGTTTTGTTGCGTGATATCTAATTTTGTCCGTCGAAAATTGAGGCTTCACATTTGAATAGTTGGTCTCTTAAGACCTTAAGAGGAAAGTTGTCATTGCTTACATGTGAGTCTTTCCAAGTATTTACTTAGTAGATCGGCAAAATACATTTGCCTAATACAAGATCCGCTAAGGATGCATTGAGAAATTTAATACGGTTGGTGATAAACTTTTATCGCCTAAGTGTAAATACCTGTTCACGATATCGGAGGTAGCGCCTCCATTTCTATGTAGGTTATCGCTGTAATGGAAATTTTGCTTGGTTTGAAAGAAAAAATTAACGATAATAGTGTTTTTTGGCTGTCATTTATCGCCCATGTTTAATTATGTATCAAGTAATTGTTCACTGCAATTTGTTTTTATAAATATACCACACTAGCTGTGTCAGCGACTTTGTCCACGTAGAATAGTTATTATGGGCATTACAATTTGTTTTTGCCTCCTCCTCATCTAAATCAACAATAGCTATTACCCACGAAATCGGTCGCGGTTCGCGTCATTTTTGCAAAAGGAGGTTGGTAAGTCGTGTAGTCCCCCCGCGAATACGGCTGCTGCAAAGGATTCGTAACGTCGAGTCGTAGGTAAAATAAATTGAAAATAAGTTATGTAAAACTTTTTTACTTATTAGTATAGCTATATACATAGAATGTTCTATCAACATACGAGGGAAAGCTAGGTAGTCAAAAGGTTACGTGCACTATAGTATCTATACATCAAACGAAAAATGGTAAATGAAAAACAAATTATTAATTTTAAAGACATACCTACAATCAATATAGATATCTTACAAATACCTTCCTCACACTGAATAACAGGAAGTGCTTAGCTTTGAGATTCTGTAATATAAGCTAGTATGAGCTGGAGTTATCAAGACGAAATTATTCTTAACCATGCGAGATGCAACTAGTAAATACACGCAAAGTACAGACGCAAAGAAAATAACAAACTATTAATAATTCTCCCCATTTTGTCACATTTCCCTCTGATTTGTCGCTCTTATGGGTAAGCCTGATGTTTTTAAAGCCTTCTTTGATACATGCTCCCACCAAAACAAAAAATATTTTTAAATACAAACAGCTGAGATTAACGTTCTAAAACAAACGAACTACAGCTTTATTAATTAAACTTATTTGAAAATGATTTTTTAATTCGGCCCGACGTTTACGGATGCTTTGCAGCAGCCGTATTGGTTAAACTTATGAGACTGACCGACCACGGCTGCTGCAAAGCATCCGAAACGTCGGGCCGAAGTTAAAAATAATTTTCAAATAAGTTTAACTAATATATCGCGTTTTAAACCGTTAAAGTGTTTTATTTAAATGTAGTACTACTCGCGTAAACTATAGACAGTATTTAAAAAATTATTTATCAATTCGAACCAGTAAGTAGTTTCTGAGATTAGCGTGTTCAAATATACAAACAAACTAATCAGCTTTATTATCAAAATATATAAATTGACAGTTGTCAATGTTAATTACTGTCAAATCAAACATGGTCTTTAACATAAGTGCAAATCATAAAACAAACCCTAGCAACATTACACATGCGGTGCAAAAAAATGATGATTAATGACTTTTTATTCCATTGTTCTCACATGTTGTGTCATTATTGATCGATGCACTTTGTAAGATTGGAAATCATTACATTTTTTACTACCTCTAGTACGAGTTTAATTGTGAATAAAACGATGTCGTATTGTGTTACAATCATAAGCAATCATTTTTATTACTAGTCAAATTCATATTTGGTTTTGTTACTGAAATTTTTCCAGTCAAATACATAAACATTGACCAATGTATTCTTTTGTTTTAAATAAGAATTCAAATGCTCACAATATAAATTGTTGTAATATTACATTAATTTAATTTTCACGTGAAACAATAGGTATACCTGCAGTATCTTTAAATGTATAAGCAAGTTTATAATTGACAGCAACTAATTCCGTTTTAGAAACAATATGGTCGTTAAGCGGGATAAATAGTAACGCGAAGCTTTTCATATATACTAATATTAAAGCGTAAGAGGTGGTTTGTTTGTTTGACCGCGTTAATCTCAAAACTTTTAGTGTGGGTTAGAGCATTTAGGCTATAAAACGTCACGCTGTGACCCGAATAGGCCCGAAGAAATAGTGGGATATGTGAAAAATATTCTTCTTTGAGGGTTTCCGATGCGTGGGCGAAAACGGTTTATATACCCAAAAAATATGGATAAAATAATGATACCTCTTTATACGATCTAAAAAATGTTTATAACAGTATATGTCAATCTTTTAAAATGAATGCAGAGAACAACTAACTATTCTACGCGGACGAAGTCGTTAGCGCGGCTAGTAATTTTATATATCACAGCATAAAAAAAGAGCCTAGAAAGCAAAATCGCGATTGCCAAACCTTTTCTAAATATTGGATCTTTCTCGCGTTCGTCATCGTTAAAATACAGTATCCCAGCGAAGTCATTATGTAAGGACGAAATTCGCGCGGGTCAGATATCGGTCAAGCAATGTCGGTCTCGAGACCTGGTCCATCTGATAAATTGTCCAATTACGATGCCAATTGCCCAGCGACAGCTGAATAAATGTGACACCTTAGTCACGACGCGTGATACCGTTACTGCACTTTGCGATTTAGAAAATATTGTTTACGGCCGTAAACTAAGACTTAGACTAAACTAAGACTGTCTGTAGGTTGCGCGAGTAGTATAAATATAAATAAAACGCTTTTGACGGTTTAAAACGCGTATTAATTAAACTTATTTACATATGTCTTCCCGTGATCATGGCTGCTGCAAAGCATCAAAAATGTCATGACGTAGTTAAAATGATTTGTAAATAAGTTCTTAAATACATTTTGCGTTTTAAACTGTTACAAGTGTTTCATCTAAGAATAGTGAAGTTGCCTTTAAAGAAAAGGAATTACAATTTTCAAATATATTTTTTAAATTGTATAGTTTACAATAAAAAAGAAATGATTTGAAAATTCTGTAATATGAGAAAATAAGATTTTTAACATTGTCTATAACATACACCAGTGGAACTACTACTGTAAGGAACTACTACACCCAATACACAAAAATTAAGTAATAAGCCTCTCGGTAACGACGGCTGCTTTAAAGCGTCCGAAACGTCGGGTCGTAGTTATAACGTATATACTAACGTTTTGAACCTCTATAAAGTTATTGAATATTTTCCTTGATTTAATGAACACTCTTATATTCAAATATTTGGGTGAGTATCAGAAATCGTAAACCAATTTCTCTACTTTAAAAACTGCTGAACTTACCACTTGAGCAGCATAATGCACACTGCTGAATCTCAGCCACACGCGCTGTCCATTTTGGCCCCACCAGCTCGGAACGAAGAATCTTCTGTCGTACCACACCAGACCGACATGGTCACGCAACGACGCGTCCTCTCCTACATCGTTGTATGATGATGGTACTGGCATAGGGATCACGGGGCCAGTCTGCAAAATTTTACTAGTTATCGAAAAATACAAATCAAATAATCTACACAAGTACAAAAATGGCATGGCTAATGATCAACGTGTCGTGGGTCCGATCCCCACCAGGTCCGACATGTTTCTAGTTTTTCAATTTATAACTTTTCTGAAACATGCTGGACTTTTAAATAAACCACTTTAACGGTTTAAAACGCGATATATTAGTTAAACTTATTTGAAAATGATGACGGGGAGACACCCGTGACCACGGCTGCTGCAAAGCATCCGAAACGTCGGGCCGAAGTTAAAAATCATTTTCAAATAAGTTTAACTAATATATCGCATTTTAAACCGTTAAAGTGTTTTATTTAAATGTGTCCTACTCGCGTAAACTATAGACAGTATGCTGGACTTTGTCTGGTAGGAATATAGAAATTCTGTCCGGTTCACGAATCACCGTCCACAGATGCCGTAAAGCTTGATCGCGTTTCGGTTTCAATCTTGGATTTCCGAATATCCAAAGGTAAAATAGGTCGACGGCGCATCTTCTATGAATGACATAGGCTGGTGTATACCCCATGGTATATTTGTCCACCTCTATCACAAAAAAAGGAAGTAGGCACAACACTTATTGGCAGATGCCCACACCTCGCACACGCTTGAAATTTAAAATAGAACTAGTAGAAAATTATTACATTTATTAACACAAGCGAGTAAAATAATATTAATGTAAAAAGAATCTTTGAAGCAGACTCGATTGACGAGCGGAAGAGTAACTATACTGTATATAATATTAGTTTACGCGAGTAGTGTACACTTTTAACGGTTTAAAACGCCAACTGTATTATTTACAATTACACATAATTTTAACTAGTGACAGACATTTCGGCTGCTTTGCAGCAACCGTGATTAAAATAATTTGAAAATAAATTTCGCGTTTTGAACCGTCAAAAGTGTTTTAGTTAAAGAGTAATTATTCAGATATGTAGTAGTATACATATTATATGCATAAGAGGCACTAGGCCATCGTAACGAGGGTAATTTCATTACTGGGCTGGAGTCGGAACGACATTGCATAGGTAAGAGAAATTCTATTCAATTAATATTATCCCTGCAACGACTTCAAATCCGCTTACGACGGCAAATATTTGACTGAAAGAAACTATTATTGCTTTGATATGTCAGCGGCTTTGTTCGCGTATAATAATATCGACATGCGAATTTGTTTTTGTAAACAATCTTTAATAAAATAAGTTTAAGCTGTTACCCATGACGTCGGTAGCGTCCCTTCTCGTCGCTCTTTCAACTTAAAAAAATAGACATATACGTCGTCGTCGTGTCGCGGACATTTGAATACATAATTTTTGCATATTTATAACCGTTTTCGCAACGTAAGATCAGACACTCACAAAGATGCATAGGTTTTTCAGTTTTTTTTTTACATTTTCCGCTACTACTTCGGTCCTACAGGTATCAGCGCAATGTTAAAAGGGCTCTACCCCTTTTAACATTGCGCTGATACCTGTAACCACCAACCAACACAAAGAAATTTGACAATTAGTAGTCCCTAAAATTGACGCGTTCAAATAAAGTGTTTTATTTAACCCTCTATTCTGTTAGCCAAGACTAGACTGTTGCAACTTCCTTCGTTTATAATATTATTCACTGCGTTTCGAAATATTTGTACGACAATGACAATAATGAGATCCGTGTGAAGTTCGTTCGCTTAGCAAATATATAAAGAATTGTATTAAATATATTTATAGTGTTAATTCTATGAAATACTAAAAGCCTTATTTATTCAATATAACCTCCCTGAGGAAGTGCTTTATCAAAATCGGCCCAGCTTTGTTGTGTGTCTAAAAAGATATTTGGTCATAGATTATATTTACTACTAGCTAGGGAGAACGAAATTGACGGGCTAGTTGTAATGGTAGCAATGTATGGCTAATAATCATTAGGTCGTGGGTTCAATTATCAATTTATAATTTCCTGAAACATGAACTTTGACTTAAAGTCTGCAGTGGAACCGAACCGACCGGAATCCGCCCACGAACTACCGTCCACAGATGAAAAAGTCGTCAAGTTTAAAAGTGCCTTGGTTTCGGTCTGTGGATTTTCGAATATCCAAAGCAAATATAGGTTGATAACGCACTTCGTTAAAAATGTTATATGGCTGGAGTATTTCGCGTCCTAATATTTTATTTATATTTACATAAAAAAATGTCCTACATGTTTATTGGTTACCACAGATATGTTGTCATAGATTATATTTACAACTAGCAAAGGAGTCACGTATTATATCTTACTATATTATATCTTTATCGTTTCATATAGATGTACAACCCACCTTCGTAAGATCCTGTTCGTACCATCCATTTTTGTAGCCATATTCCGGATCTGTTGGGGATTTTCTGAAGTTCCATATGCCGTCTAAATTGCGAAGGTCCCTTGTCTCAGACGCCTGGGGATATAAAGCAGCTCCAGGGTTGGCTGCTTTCTTTCTGGGCACTTGGTTGATCTCATTAGCACTGGCTGTTACTGGTACAGCCGCTCCCACGAACGTTATAAATATATACACTAGGCACAGACTGCATGTTTTTAACATTATCTGTAATAGAAAATAAAACATTTAGTTGTGTACTTCGTGACGATTCGACATTGTTTATGGTTAAAAACTTTAATATTCTTTTAAAAATAGAAAATAAATTTATTTTCTATTTTTAAATTATATAGTGCTTCGTGTGCAATAACATGTAAAAAGTAATAAAGTTTTCAAACTTTAATATTTTTTTAATTTATTACATATTATCATTTAAATTGATAAAATTTTGATTCGGGCGGGACTTGAATTAGCTTAAATAGCGTTCCGTGCTGGTGCTCTAACGAATTGAGCTACCGTGTCTTACGAGTCCTCTTGCTTGGTTAGAGCAACACGGAACGCTGTGGACGCCAGTTCAAACCCGCTCAAAGTCAATTGTTTTTCAATCTTTTTATGTTTTAGTTTTTTAGAACGATGTGTTTTTATATCAATAATAGAAACGAGTTTATATGAAGTGTGGCCCGTCGTATTAGCAAGGTAAGGTAAAACAGAAAACAAAATTAGGAAAGAGAATGTTCTGATAATTGTGTTATTTCATTCTCATTTAAGATATTTACATGTACGTAAAATCTATGCGTTAATATATGTATTTATTAATTGTGTTCCTAGTAAAACGAGCATTATTATTATCCAATAATTATCCGCAAAGCAATATTAAATTCGAGGCAAACTAGTGTTGTGTATCTTATGCTCTTATGCTAATGCTTATTTGCAAGTGTTGTATAATATGGTATGTAATACTGTTTTATAGTGAAAACATCGCAGTCGAAACGTGAAGCCGAAATTCAAATAAAGTTTAAATAAGTTAACCAATATATTTCGCGTAACGGTTTGAAACGCGATACATATTAGTGAAACGTATTTAAAAAAATGTTTTAACTACGGGCCGACGTTTCGGATGCTTTGCAGCAGCCGTAGTCAAGGGGAGTCCACGGGTAATATATTTAAAATATGTATTTTTAAATAAGTTTAATATATTTCAAGTTATAAACCGTTATACGTGTTTTAAATACTGTCTATAGTTTACGCGAGTAGTACACATTTAAATAAAACACTTTAACGGTTTAAAACGCGATATATTAGTTAAACTTATTTGAAAATGATTTTTAACTTCGGCCCGACGTTTCGGATGCTTTGCAGCAGCCGTGGTCACGGGGAGACTGTCTCACAGTAATAAGTTAAACTAATATATCGCGTTTTAAGCCGTTAAAGTGTTTTATTTAAATACGTGTTTTATTTAAATGTGTACTCGCGTTAACTGCAGACTGAAAAGATAGTTTATTTTTCATACATATAAGTATTTAAAACTTACAACATCTTTATTATTAGTGTGTACTGGATATAGCTAAACTTGTCTCTTATGATTTTAAGTTCCACTATCGGCATTAAAGTCCTGGTAATCTTCGCCATTGATTAATCCACAAGCATTCGAAGTTTGAAAATTTCATTTTTTACATGTTATTGCGCGAGATTTACATGTTGATAGGTTCACAACAATAGGTTGAAAAAAATAGACGACGACGTGTAGGACTCGGTATCTCAATTGGTTAGCACAGAGCGTCAGCACGGAACGCTGCAGGTGCCGGTTCAAGTCTTGCCCGAGTCGTAATTTTTTTGAATTTAAAATCTACTTTTAATTTATTTACTATTCTATTTAAATTATATAGATTTACCGAACTCATACTAGGGTCCAAAGCTATTTAATTATACGAAAGTGAAATCGCGGTTACAAAACAATAGTCTTAGTTGTATTGAGTATTCACGACAATAACATATAATTTTGCTCTCTTTAACTAGTCAAATATTCACTTCTTTTCACAAGGACTCAAGTATTTCAGTATATTGTTTCTACCGTCACACAGTGATAATAACTAGTACGAGGATAATCAATAAATAGTATCTACAATACATAGTTATCAATTAAATAAAAAAAAAAATAACTGTAAACATATTTAACACGCCAAAATCTAAAATTTCACACAATTCTTATCGTAATAACTATAATTTCAAGATTAAGATGTAAACGTGATTTATATTACGGAAGTTAAACTAAAGATTTATGATAAACAGATAAACTGTAGAATAAATATCATAATTGCTATTTGTACTGAGAAGAACTTGTTTGGTTCTGCCCCTAGCCAGTTAGTGCATGATTCTAAAACAATATTCTATATTACGTCTAAGAATCCAAGAGTCTAAGGGATTTATAAAACACTAGCTGTGCCCGCGACTTCGTCCGCGTGGAATAGTGACTTGTGGTAGAATTTCTAATTATTTAAGCTGTTCATTAATTTATGTAAGGGCGCATTTAGGGCAGCCAATCTATGTTGTGCTACTTTGCCGCAACACTCTCACCTCACATCACTCCTACTCTAACTCCCACTCTCATTCCTACACTATCACTTCCACTCCCACGCCCACCCCTACTCCCACTCCCACTCCTATTCTCAAAATGCTAAAGAAGAAAGTTTCATTGTTCTAGCTTTAAAAACCACGAATTTCCATACAAACTTTCACCCCCCATTTTAACTACTTACAACCCCTTTTCGCAATAAAAAGTATGTTCTTTCTCAGGGTCTAGACCATCTGTGTACCAAAATCCGTTTTGTAGTTTTGGCGTGAAAGAGTAACAGACAGACAGACAGAGTTACTTTCGCATTTATAATATTAGTAAGGATTGTAAAAACCGTGACAAACGTATACGAAATTTAATAATGTCCATAGTTTACGCGAGCAGTTTAACGGTTTAAAACCTTTGTCCTATATATTAGTTAAACTTATTTAAAAATTCTTCTAATTGGCCGTGGTCTCTCCTTGACCATGGTAGCTGCAAAGCATCCGTAACGTCGGTTAAAATAAGTTTAACTAATGTAAACCGTCATTTAAACCGTTAAAGTGTTTTATTTAAGTGTGTATAAAATTAGTATGTTGTGTATAGCAAAGTATTGTCTGCAGTTTACGCGAGTTACATGTTAGTAGGACACTTTTAATGGTTTAAAACACTTTTAAAACGTTCATAATATAATGCGAGTTTCAAACCTTTAAAAGTGTGTTATTGAATTATATACTGTAGCTAATTTTTAATCATTTTTTAATATAAATTCGTATTCATATAAAATTTTAATAAAATTTTATATGAATACTGGAAGGATTTAGTCCTTCCAGTATTCATATATTTAAACAATTTTCGATCTACCTCCAATTTGACATGATAAATCTCAATATAATATTAAATATAGCTGGTATTAATGATAAGTTCATACAGTGTGAGAAACAGACAGTTGGATAAAAAATAATGTCTTATTTTGTGTAATGTTAAATGCTAAAAATAAGCGTAATATGTTGAATAAACTCTAATGAAGGAACAAGCAATTTTAAATTGTAAAATTTTCCATGATTTACTAAAGATGGATTAGACTATCGTTCGAAAATTAGAGATAACTACTTAAGTAGTCTAACTATTTGTACGAGAAATTTGCATTCGCGAGAAAGTTCTGAGGAAATTACTATGCACATACGAGCCTAAAACACTTGTCTTCTTTTCTATAAATATTTACTTTGAATCATTGACTTGCTAATTTCCGTAACCACTGGGTTAAGAACAGTAGGCGATAGCTTTATTTTTGTTTTACTTAAATAAACCTGTTATTTTTTTATGCCGTATGTCCCAATCAAGGAAACGAAATATTATAACATCTTACCGCATTAAAAAATAATATATTTCATTTTACTCATCTTTACTCTACACATTAGGATAATACAAACTATTTATTTATTTTATATTAAAACTATTAAATGACAGTTCGAACAAATCTTTTCTGATGATAACAGTAAACTTTCGAGTCTCGATATTTATTTATTAACACTACATTGCATAAAAGAAAAAAACAAAAATACAAACAAGACTTATTTACTAAAAATATTGAGTGCAATGGGCGGCCTTATCGCTAACTAACGATCTCTTCCAGGCAATCTAACATCAAAGAAGAAAAAGTTTACGAGAAAAAGCGTGTAAGGTGGGCGAAACAAAATATACAAACTCTAAAACTTTTACACAATTACTTAACTTATCTGCTATCTGTTTATTAATTATTTAATTTTAATTATCATTTGACTATAATTATTATAGGTAACTTCGTTATTATGGGCTTTCTTCACTACAAAGAATTTTGGTAAATATAATGATATTGAACATTTTGAAAATGACAGGATATAAACAAGTTTGGTTAAAGAATTCGACGAATGCATTAGATGAGGTTTTGCTTTAGTTTTTTTTTTTTATAAATAATATTATCTCTCACCTTGACCGAGATGGCACGAACAATTGCTAAAACAAACGGTTCGCTCTTCCATTTAATAATGACAAGCTGTTAGCATAACTTGTCTAATTTATGTCGTTGGGCATAACGCAATTACCATAATGCACAAACAATTACAGCAAATTCTTCAGATAAACGCCCGACGATTACGAAAATTTAATACAAAAAGCGGGCACAAATATTACAATGCAATAACGTTTATTGCAACACACGTCGGCTTTCTAGAGCATGCGCATAAACAATAGATTTATTCTCAGTTATCTGCGCACCGGCGCTGATCTAACACTAACAGATTTTAATGTTCACATTAGGCCATTTTCAGACTACGCTATAATATAATCGCACAGGATCAACTAACTCAAAGATAGTCGAGCGTTTATAATTTGAATTTCACGAGCCGCAATTAACGAAGTAAGTATTGAAAATAATGGAGGGAGGTTTTTTTAATTATATTGATTACAACTGTTAAAATGGTTAATAATTCAATGTACAATGAAAAATACTTATTGTTTTCAAAATATGCTAAAAGTAACATGAGAAACTCTGTTAGTACAAAGAACTCAGGTGCAGTTCTAGTGTATTTAAGAAGCAAATAAACTTTAAAGACTTGCGACACGGTTTTGGTAATCCGTGCGAACATTTAAAAGTAACGATCTTTAGTAAATAGTATGTATGTTAATGTCTAATAAT